TTCTAAAAATGAGCTAAAAGCTTGATTTTAGCTGTCAATCAAGGAAAAACAAAATTACCTGACTATCATGAAATACAACCAATGTTTTCCTCTCTTTCATAGTAACAAAGAGACAATCTTAAATTTTATTTTGAAAGAGACAGTCTTAAGCTACCACATTTCTGCTTGAAAAATTTCTGTTTTCTTGTATTTTTAATGACCTCAAATATTCTCATTCTGTTGGAGGTTTTTTTTTTTTTACCCAGAGAGGGCAAAATAGTGAAGATTTCATCTTAATAAAGAAAAATTCGTGAATTAGCTGATATTTGAAGAAAAACCTAAAGTTTTTAATTCCTTTGCATATTTCCAAGGCTGAGGTTTGTTAAATGTGTGCGTGCTGTTTGTAATTAAAAGCGTACAGAAAAATTATAAAAAWTTATAATAAATTAAAAATGATAATAAATAAAAACCCCACAGAAACAATTTCTGGTGACAGGAACTCACCCAATATACAGCATTTTGGACCACAAAACTCACAAACCTCACAATAAATTATTAACAGTAACACCAAAAGCAAATACGAGCTTTGCAAAACCTGACTGMCACTATAGTTATATTTAAATCCATGTTTGTAGCTCTTTTCCCCCCCAACACAGAATTAAGCTCTACAAATTATTGTTATTAAATAACAATAATTATTGTTGTTATTAAATATAAGGATTGTCTTTAAATACCCAGACCAGACAAATGGTTATGTAAGTTTTTCATTAGTGACAGCCATTATTATCCTGTTGTGTCTTTCATGATACCAACGCAGTAACTTTACCAATACTATTTGAATAGTATTATAATATAAATTATATAAATCTTACAAATTCAGAATTAGCAGAATTGCCACTGATATCAGTGCTGTCTGTCCAGTACCAGTCTAATGATAAGTGTTCAGGTGAAGATAACCTTTTATTGCTGCCACCTTTTCAAATCTGCAATCATTTTTAAAGTAGGTAATTTTATTTATCCAGACTATTTTCACTCCCAGAACAAAGTGGTCTTTATTGCCTAGAGCTCAGGTAGATTGATGCACTGCAATGAAATCTTCCACATTCTTGCAAATAAAGCTGCTTTTGAATGAGTGCACAGCTGCCAGTGTGTGCTTGATGCATTTGCTGTAAAATTATTTGGTTATTTCTACTGATTCCTCACACAYTTTCTGTGTGCCATTGAAATTTTCAGCATCCTATGCATTTTGTCATGATCTATCAAAGCCATTAATAAAATTGTAGAAGCTGTGTCTAAGAGGGCTGGAATAAAAAGTCCTGTAAAATTTTCATCATGACAGGTGAAATCATCACATGAATCTTGTGCTGCTTAGAAGAAACTGTATTTATTACAAATACAATCTCCAAAATGAATATTTGAGCATGATAAATTATTTGTTTGCCACTCTCCTTCAGCAGCAAGGTGCAATCATTGCCAGTGTTCTTGCCCATATCCAAATATTTTGAATATTTTGAAGACACTAAAAAAATTACCTGAAGAACACAAATGTTTGACAATACAAAAATAACCTACAGTGTCAATCTCATGGCCTCTTGCCATTCATAATTTTTACTTTATCAACATATCTAATAATCCTTAACATTACAAGTAAAATGACTGTATTTTGCTTTTTATTCTCTTTTTTTTTCCAAAGGTGTCTGTTTCTTAGACTCCTTTTTTGAAAAGCAAAGGAACCAGGTCTATTAATTTATTGTCTTGAAGATGAAGTTTGTACCTTCTGTTACAATTCTGAGCAATATTTTCAGGTCTTTTAAAATATTCTGGAAGGAACTAAAGGACTACCATTTGTCCACTTCTATTTCTACTTATTCAAATAAAATAAATAAATAAATAAATGAAACCTTTGCTAGGTATTCACAACAGTATTTGCTACACTGGGGAAAAGAAGGAAAGAAAAATCTTTTCCAGAAATTTGTGGAGTTTATGCTTTTCTTCAGTCTTTTAGGTAAATCTTAACCTACGAGGAAACAATTAAAATATGTTTGGACTCTATCTCATAGTGTATATTTTCCAAATAATAGGGTTTTGGTTTTTTTTTTTGCTATCCATTTTGCAGAATGTCATCCTTTGCYCTATATCTCCCCAAATACTTATTCTGACTTGGAAATGATCAGCCTCTGCTGMCTCTCTTCAGATATTTTACTATCTTGATTTTATAATCTTGACAAARGGACTTTTATAACTAATTTAACTGAATAAGAGAGAAATCTGCTATGCTCTTATCTCTTTAATCTGTGGGACACTGTTAAAATTGTGATTTTGATTTCTGCATTTATTGATTCTACACATTTTCAAAAAATTAGGTCTTAGCATTTTCAGGTGAATATCAGACTAAGAGYTTCCTCACACACCCACTGTCACACRTGTGCACCTGTAGTACTGTATTACTACAGGYAATAACTCCCTGTAGTAACTTCCCATTCAGCTCATTTGAGCCATCCCCTTTCATCTCAGCACCTATCAAGTGCCATCTCATCTTCACACTTTTAAAATTATTGGAATGTATTCAATTMTTTTGATGAGATTTCTCTCCCAGTCTTGTCCCTCTCTCATTATTTCAGCCACTCCCACACATTCTCACCAATGCTGTTGTTTTCAATTAGATGCAAATTCAGCATGAGTTAAAATTAKGATTCTTCAACACTCCTATGGATCTGAGAGTGGGAAAACAGATCAGTCTAGTGACAGATTTTTTTATGCTGAGAATCTATATAAGTTTTTGGTTTTAGTGATTTCAATAAAATACATTATTTTACGATAATGCATCTGTGGAAGAAGGAAATACTGTGACATCCATCTTAAAAACAACAACCTTCTCTCTCTGGGTCTAGATAATTGGGAAGAACAGATACTATCTAATGCTTTACAACACAGAAAACAAAACAATTTATTASCAATAAATTAAAAGAAACTGGCTAATCTAATAATAGTTTCTGAAGCATTCCATGTTTCTATTTGATGCCTCTTGTCAGCATGGCTCACTAACTGCTCATGTAATTGTGGTGATTTAACTTCAGCAGAAACCACTGCTGGGCAGAAAGGTGAGAGTGGCTTTGTAGCTGCTGACTAAAAGAAAAATGACAACAGACATCTGCTTCAGACAAACTGGACTAAAATAAAATTACTGTATTATSTGGTAGAGCAGGAAGGAGACCCCACTGTTTCCAGAACGCCACAGCAAAAACCCTGACTCCACATCACATGATTTTTATTTTTTTAACTATGTGTTAAAAACAGATAAAAAAAAAGAACCCACTAGTCTGACTGCAAAGCACAAAAGGATCTGCAAAGTGACTGTTTTTTGTTAAGCACCATTGATCATAAAAAAGCATCCACAGAGAAACACCAGGATTTTGTGCACTGACATCCCCTGCTCTCTAGAGACAGGGGTTTATGTAAGTGTTCACAGACCTGACATGACACACACAAAAAAAAGAAGAAAATTAAATAAAATATGTGCAATGGCTTGATRTCACCAGGCTGAAGAGTAGAAGGACAGGGCTAGAGAATAGTGTATGTTTACTGAGAAATTTGTCCCTGCATGGTTGGGAAAACTGATCAGCACAGTCAGATCATCAGCTCAGGTATTAGAAAAGACAAATATCCTTCCACTGTGGGGGCAGAGGGAAGAAGAAAATGGGGAAGAGCAACTGAAATCCCACACTGAAACCTCAGTAATTAAATCATCCTGGGCAATAAAGCATAAAGTGGACAGGAGCAATGTCTGAAAAGCCATTTTCATGATCACAAATACTGTTAAACACTCACATGAGAACATTCGAAATCGAGCTAAACAGCTCCACAAACAAGCTAAACAAAAGTCAATGAGGGTAAGTCATTAAAGGATATTTAATGTACACAATTTGTTTTTACATTTGCAGTTTCTCTTTTTACCAAATGTTTGGTTACTTTTCTTTGGTTACATGCATATTGCTCAGGATAAAAATGTTCTCTAGAATTGAAAATAGTATATGGCAAACACTGCCCCAGATGTACTTCCCAAGATTTTGGGTTTTTTTTTATCCAGTGCCAAATTGTTCAGTCAAGCAACAATTTCTTATGAAACGTATCAATTATAGAATTAATTCCTTTACTTTCATATAARCACAAACAAAAGTTGCACTACTGTRCCTATTGTTATYGTTGATTCATCCTCATGGAAAATCCACAACCTTTTCTAGTTTACAGATTTTTTTACCTCACAAATCAGAAACTTATAAACAAACTAAAGTCTTTAAACAGGAGCAGGAAATTAAGTGCACCTAAACTATAATCTATTCTTTGTAATAGATTCTTCTCAAGGGAGGGAGGCTGTTTAAACCAACTGTTTACTCACCATCTCACTCTGTGCTTTTGGAAGCTTTAGTATRAATCCTGGCACTGGTTTTTCATTTCTAATCTTGAATAATTTAAAGTAATTTTAAAGAAAAAAACACAGATCTAAAATTATTTATTTTGTGTTCTATCATCTTTYTCTGCTTTGCCAGAGTGTTAAGAGTGGCTACATTTTAAGTAAGTGCTTAGTTCATTTAGTTAATTTAGGCACATTATCTCAATCTAACCTAAAAATCTAAATCACAATTCCTACAAGAAAAATAATTCACACATCTAAGAGAGATTTTCAAAGCTGAAATCTTCCACTTTATTCTCTAAGCCATTATGTTTRTTACAGAGATCAATTCACAATTTATGTAGCTCTGCCAGCAGATTCAAATTAAAATTAATTGTATAAATTTGTAGACTCAAGAGTACACATTGGCTGCTCTTTGCTTAATATTCCTTACCAGGGTAAGGCTCTAAAATATGAGAGGAAGGGAGATGGAGGACTCTGTGTAACATTTCACTGTCAAATTGGTTTAGAAACAACATTGTCAAAGGCACAAACACTAATTTTATGGCAATTAAATGATGAAAAATTTGAAAAATGATCACTGCTTATAGGAGAAAAATATTGTTTTTACCTTACTGATAAGTGTGACAACATCACCTTCCCGGATTGTGAGCTCATCGTCGTTCTGTGCTTCGTAGGGAAATATCACTTTGCAGTACTCCTTGTCTGAAACAAAGAGCATCCACTGTGAGAAATTATCACTTTGGAACAACTGCTTACTCAAGGGTGAATCATTTTCATCAAATATTCCACTAGTGTCTCTTTGTGCTGCCTTATTTCCTCGCCATCTTTCTCATTGTATTCCAGCCCTTTATAAACAATATGAAATATTTAAAAAAGTGCACACTGCTAAGCATTCCCACACACGTCATGCAGGGAGTCAGCCCCATAGGCCCTAGAACCATTCCTAATAAATGAAATAGCTCCAGACAGAACCTGCCACTACCCCTTTTCCTCAGAGTAAATCTGTATCTGACACTGCTTCACTGGTTCCACTGGGATGGCCTCCCAGCAGATCCCACAAACTGGGAGCATAAAGGATTTGGCACAGCTTATCTGTCCCCTTGTGTGCAAAAACACAGATATTTCTGAATCTATGGAGCTGATACAACAATAAATAACACCTTAATAAATGTTAATGCATTAATAACTAAACCACCTGTACACACTCTAATACTTTAGAGTATTACTCTAAAGTTTCCTCGATCCTTTTTCCTTTACTGTCTATAAATAAAGGCATCATCTCAACTTTCATCTGGAAAATACAGAAGCCAGCACTCCTACTCAGAAATCATAAAAAGCAGTTGTCATGAAAAGCAGTTACTTCCATGTTGCTGTGCAACGGACAACTATGTCAATGTGCCTTACAAATAAAAAGGGAATATGTTTTCCAGCTGTTAAACTATGCATAAAAATATGTGATACTGTCAGACAGCAGCTCGAAAAGGACCAAGTAAACTACTCAAGTGTCTGTAGAAAGGCAGGTGACTTTGTAGAAATGTTCATCTCACTCTGAATGTCTCAGTTTTGATGATCTCTACGTATAGTCAACTTTTATATTTGATCCAGAGTACTGGCAGGCCACAGAAATACAAATGGATTTGAAATTACAGGACTTATACTTACTAAAAAGAGAACCTGCAATATTATTATTATTATTATTATTATTATTATTATTATTATTATTATTATTATTATTATTATTATTATACTTGTGGGTATCTGAGGCTCTCCCAGGGGGTCACTTCAGCTGCCCATACACTATGTGCCCATACACTTTGTGCCATATTTTACATATAGAATGTAAGATACCTGCACAGTTGGCAGATACGATGCAGAATTTATGGAAGTGCCAGCTCCCTGTGATTTGCCCCYTGAAGGCAAGTCCAAACAAAATACCCTGAGGATATCTCAAACTGATTTCAGCCCCCAGGCTTTGGCCTTGTGTGTAAATTTGTATTTTGWAATACAATGATGATAGAAACCAAGCTGTTTGGTGTGCAGCAGTCAATGGAGACCAAAGCACTAAAATGAATGAACCTTGAGAGCAGCTCCAAGAGCAGATACCCCAATTTGAGCTGAACCATGAGCTGAACTCCCTGACAGCAGTGCCAGATCTCCAGTGGGACCCCCAAAACCCACACAGCAAACTCTCATAAGCCAGACTTAGGAGGGCTCTGACACAGGAGATGCATCCCAACATCTAAAGTTTGGTGAGAGGAATATCAGACTTAAAGAAGCAGCCCAGACATGTCTACATGAAGGTTTGCTCTCTGTAAGCACCATCAGCCTGAGAAATTAAAGCAGGGAAGAGGAAAACTCTTCACTTCACACACTGCCACTCAGGAACAGCATTAATTTTATGTGTTGTTGGTTCAAGCAAACAAAAAATTCTTAGGCTTCACAGATTTATTCTGAACAAAAATGTTTGAATTTACCCACGGCCATTACAGTTGGTTTTCTGGCCATACCCTGGATTAGGTCTGGTTGGGATGGAGTCCATTTTCTTCACATGCTGCTGTATTGTGGATTTGTGACTAAAACTGTACTGGTTMCACCGGTGTTTTGGCTATAGCTCATACCTACACACCTTTCTTTTTGTCCCTATTCTATCCCCCAAGGATAGRCCAGGGCTGGGCAAGAAGTTGGAGCAGCAGACCCAAGCTAAGTAAAGGAATATTCTGTGCCATGTAATAAAAAATGGCTGGGCTTTAAGGGTGTTGGTCTAGAAAATTACCATTCCTTGGAAATTGCCTGAATATTAATCCACTGTAGGTGGTGAATCAGTTGATCCTACTGAATGGTGGTTACCTCTGTTTTCCCCTCTTTCATTTATTTATCAAACTGTTTTATTCATGGGTTTTCTTGCTTTTGCTTGCCCYATCCTCTCCTTATGGGGAGCAAGGGGCTGGGTGGAGCTCCACACCACCTCTGATGTCTCTGAAGAAATAAACTTTAGATGAAGATGATGAACACAAGTTTTGAGGGAAGTGAGCAAAGAAAATAAAAATCCTTTTCCTGTTTTGAAAGCARGGAACACTGTGAAATAAACACTTGGTGACTTTTGCAAACCACTGGGCATGTCAGAACCACCAGGTCACAACTCAGATTTCTGAGGATGAAAAGGAATGTCCAACTGCTGCTTTACTGCATTCTGGAGAGGGGTTGGGATGTCTCTTTGTGGATTTGGCAAGGATATTCCACCTGCTCACTGCCTTGTCTTTGAGATAAGATAACAACATTTGATGTAAAAGCAGGAGGAAAGCTGACACACACTAACTCAGCTGGATGCAAACCAGCATGCAGGTAAATATGAGATTCAGCATATTTTACACCTCAGTGGCATGCTACCTTAAATTATCATCGTGGGTGTTTTTTTCCTATTCTGAGTATATCCACACTCCAAAAAACAGCTGTGCTAAATAATGGATTCAGTGAATTAGCTCTGAGTTGATGTTGATGTAATACTGCACTACAGAGGCTGAGTGCTGCACACTCAGGCAAGTCTCCAGTTACTGGAAATAGGCTCAGCTTCTTTTTTGGGATACAGAACAGAAGCCAGGCTGGRTTCTCAGAGGTAAACAACACCTGAGCCCAAGCAGACCCTGACAGACAAGAGTGGAGAGAAGGCTGTGGTTTTGGAATCTGAAAAATCAGTTGATAATTGGGAAGCTTTCTCCAGCAAATTGCTACACATCCTCTCCTAGTTTTTGTGTCAAGAACTCTGTTGTCCCATGACCCACCAAGCTCTTAACCTTTTCTCTCCTTAAAAAAATCCAAATAACAGAAAAACAAGGAATTAGACTACAGAAAATTGCCAAAAATCAGCCAAATGCTGATGTGGTTCATAAAAAGCCAGGAAATAGTCTTTTGAGAGACACGAGAGGGAGCTGGGGGAGGTTCACAGCCCCTCCTGTGCTCTGAATGCTGCCACAGGAACACAGAGTGAAGAACAGCCATGGAAAAAACATGGGTTATGTACAGTGGAAGTGTGGACTTCTTGAGTACAATTCAGACAGATATTTAAAATCACTGGATTCATTGGATCAAAGATCTCAACATCACAGATGGCTTAGGAACAACTTAAGTGACTGCACCAAGTCATCTTTCAAACTTCTCCTAAGGGAAAGGAAGACCAACATGATTTAAGCAAGCAAAAACAAAGCCAACAGAACTCAAAATGATATGAACCTTTAAAATCAGATCAATAAAAGCAGAGAAAAATCTAATAGGCTATGTCATATTGGTACTAAAATTGTCCTTACTCAGCAGGGCACAAGCATTTAATGTCAATAGTTATGTTTAGCTAGGAGGGAAGAAAAGATAAAAGGAAAAACTAATTTCAGACACAGCATTGTACAGACCACACTGGAACTTGCTGCATTTGGGATTTTCCAAATGAGAAAAAAAAAAAAAGAACAGAAAAATATAAAGGTCAAAAAATATATCCCATTATGTGCCTGGCTAATAAACTTAAGCCAAATCAGAACTTCAGACTAAGATATCAATAATAGGTATCCATCAGCTGTAGATGATGAATCTCATTTTTCCATATGACACCCAAAAATCTATATCACAGACAGTTTTTCCAGAAGCCTCTCTTTCTCCCCCTGACCTGATAAAGGTGTATCTGCTAATAAATCTGCAACAACAGATGTTTTGGAAACAGTAAGGGAGGAGAGAAGATGATCCTCATGAGCTTTTCAGTCCTCATTTATCAATTCAGCAGTATTTTGTCAGACCACAGAGTCTCACTGCAAAATCACAGCTCCTCCCAACTGTGGGCCCTGCTCAAGGAACTGAGTGAATGGATAAACCTAAAAAAAAATGCAATGTCCACAGACAAACATAAGTTCAAGCTTAAATTTCCAAGGGGACAGTAACTCTGGAATTTGTTTTTCCTCTTAGGGCAAGATGACACAATTTCTTCCTTTTACTTCTACCATTGTTTCCTCAGATTGGTAATTTTTGAGTGAAAATATTTCCCCATCAGTGAAGTCTAAATCATACAGCAATCAATATGGACACAAACAGTAATACTAAGTAAGAAAACAAGCAGCATTAAGGTAGCATTCCTTGAGCTTAAACTTCCTCTCTGACTATCACACATAAAATGTTTCTGAAATGGAATAAAACGTACCAATTCTAGTGAAAAACTACACAATTATTAACAAAACCACAAACCAGATGAAAGAAATTCAAACACTATACTCAGCAGAATCTGGTTTTACTGTTGATTGCTACACTCAAGATTCATAAATAGATTGCACTAATAAATATTTTCACAGACTTTACTAAGATGCAAACTGACAAAACACCACCTGATTAAACAAAAAATATTAACAGAARTAACTATGGTCCAATTAATACATATTCAGCTATTCCTTACAGTTTCTACATCATGCAAAAAGATTAGTTGCTTGGTATGATTTTGTCCTGTGCAATAGCTTAACACAAATTTTAAAGAGTGGAGTAATCAAATTAAGTGCTGTGGTCAATGCACTCTGTGACTTCCTGCCCTTGCTATTTTGCTGTCTGCTTATTTATATTCCATTAGTGCAGTCTCAGTAATTTCCAATAACTCTCAGATGTCGTGGATGTTTTTGCTTTGCTGGATTTTAACATCTAACAGAGCTACTTCAAAACTTACATATATTTTCTACAAYGTACCCTTTTCACCACAAGCCACTCATACTAAAAGTGAGCTATTTCATAGAAAATAATACATAAAATAGAAATGTATTATTTTCATAGAAAATAATACAAAATCATGCATTAATGTGTCATCCTATCTACATAAGAGAGATGGAATTTCTAGAGCAGAATATCCCTTTAAATCTAGGAACCCACAAATTTAAACCAAACAGCTCTCACAAATTTAAACCAAACAGCTCTCCCCTCTCCTCTTCAAAGATGCAATCCCTCATCAGATCAGTGATGTTTTCCATTCAAGCCCTGGAAGGATTTGTGCTTTCACTGTGCTCTTCCTTTGTGCACAAAGTCCTCTTTGGCCCTGAAGAGTCATCTATTTATCTCCCAAAATCTTAAGTCCATTTTTAGGGAGATTTACCTAGCAGATTGTTGGGAGGTGCACCTTAGAGTACATACACCTCTGCCTTTGGCCTCCACCACCTCACCCCATTGCAGAGTTTAGCCTGTATTTCATGTTCTAAGAGCAGATGGAACATCAAGAGCCTCTCTGCTGATCCCTGCACTATCACATCAGAAAAAACAGACTGGAATAAAGGTGTGAGAAGAATCAGAGACCATCACTCCATGCTGAACCCCTGTGAGCAGAGAGGGAAGATGCTGCTGATATTGTTTCCCATTTGGCTCTTCCAGAATGCATCTGCATTATTATTTTATCCASTTGGGACTATGCAATAACATCATCAATCATAAAAAGAAATGAGGAAAATGAAAAAAATGGATTATTCCTTTACCAGAATAATCTCTGTTTTGCTTGCAGCATTTATCTCCAAGATAATCCCTAAACCATGTATTGAAAAGCTCCTTCTCCATACTGAGCTTTGTCTACAGATCTTTTGTTTCCTGCTGCTTCCTTGGAGAATGGCWCAGTACCTGTTTTGATAAAGACTCCAAGAAATACTGCAACACTGCCATMCCAGGCAAAAGTGAAAGTACTTGAGGTCCAAGATGGAATGATACTTTTGTGCTGAACACTGCAATTGGAACAATCAGCAGCTTTCAGTGACTGCAAACTTCCCTGGATTGAAAGATTTTTCAAGCTTGTTTGTGGTAAAAAGTAAAAATTGAGTTTTGGAGAAATGACAAATACTAGACAGATTGTAGTCCTATGCCAGAGTCTGATGATACTCCTCATTTCTGGCTATCAGACATTAACTTTATTATGAAAAAAAAATTCCTCTGCCTGTATTAAAAAACCAAACCAGACTGAAGTATGTTTCATTTGCACTGAAAGGTTTTTCCATTAGAGTGAAGGACAAGTCATTCATTTGACTTCAACTGAATGAAATGTATCTTCAGTGATGTCATTTGAGGCTAAGACAATTATATATAATTACATTACATCAGACCTTCCTATAGATGCACTTCTCTTTCCCAAGCATGAACAGAGATGCCAAGAATTCTAGTGAGGCTCCAGAGATTCCAGGAAAGATAAAAAAAAATAAGTAATGAAGTTTAACCAAAACTCAACAGGATAGGAATTCAAAATTCAACAGGATACTCTACAAATAATAAATAATAAACTAGCCYACCCTTCTCACCAGCTCTGGCAAAATGGATATAGAATGAAGACAGTGGCAGAAGAAGAAGGATTTTTCTGGTCAAAAAGGCATGTCTGAGGGAAATAACAGAGCTGAAAGAAGGACCAACCAGAGCTAATGGGCAATAACTCAGTAAAAGCTGTTTTAAGCTGCTTTTGCARCTCTGAGTTGAAAACCTGTACAAACTAGGTTGTAACCACACARTTCTCTCAGACAGACCATGCTCTGCTGATCCAGATGCTTTCCTACATATGTCTGTCTGTATTTGAGTTCTGAGACAAAATGTTATCAGCTAACTATCTAAAAAGATAAACATATCAAGGAAGAAGGACTGTGCAAGACTTTAAAAAAAAATCAACTCTGTTATATTCAGCTTCTTTTCTAAGACATGTTCTCTTCACTCCTATTCTTTTCCACCAGAATCTGGATTTAGTTGCAACTTCATATAAATAAAATCAAAATGTGGGGAATATATATGCATGCTATTTGATAAGCTGGTTACATATGCCTCCCCAGAACATACCTGAAAGATTTAATCATTACTYTTTGATTGCTAAGCACTGAAATGATGAAAAAATAAGTGAAGGTCATAGATGATTTCTGCTACATAAAGAAATAAAAATAAAAGAATTAAAAGAGGAAAAATGCAAGGCCATTCACAATGAGAGAAATTTTTCTATGACCTACCTACAAGTTACAACCTGAATTTGGATCTTATTCAACTCTGATTAATTCCAAAGTACCCTCAAGGCTGAAAGTTGATCACATAATTTGATTTTTGGTGGCAGAAAACTCAAGGTAGGGTCCCCAGAATAAAAACAGTCCAGAGGATTCTGTGAAACAAAGCATTGTGTCCAGGTACCACCTACTCAAAGTTAACCTAAATAAATCTATCTGCATCCTTCCTTTTTATATATACAGGACACTCTTTTAACCCAAACCATAGAAAAGTGTTCTGCTTGCTTTTAATAGCACAAAGTGCAAAAAAGAAAAACCTATGAAACCTACTTTTTGTTCTGCTGTCCACTTCTATTTTTGTTGGCTCCTGAGTTGCTGTGGCTGGAGGTAATTTCTTCCCAACACTCTGAAAAAAAATAATTATTCTTCTTTAAAATTTGCAGGTTCAGTTAAAAGTTGGACAACATAAAAAATAGTGATGGAATTACAAAATATAGAAGTAGAAAAAGGACAGTAAAGAAAAAGAGTCAAATTATAAACTATACTTACATTTGTTACTGGGGATTAACTTTTTTAAAAATTATAAGGAATTAATAAAAATGTGATCCTCCAATTTCCCTTAATTAATGCTTACTAACACTTTTAAATTATAACCTCTTAACACTTCCTGAGTTTCAGAGCAGGCTCACAGAAGTTTCAATGGTAGATTGAATATTAAGCAGTTGATGAACTTACTTAAGGAACAAATGCTATTCTGTACCAAAAATAAAGCTGAAAGAAGCAGCAGGGAGGAACTGCTTTTCATATGAGGAATATTTATTTCAGCTGCTATAGACTGAATGTGATTTTTATATTGACATCTCTTATTTTTTTTATTTATTTTTTTGCAAAAATAAGTAATTTACAGTGGACTATTGTAACAACAATAACTGAGGTCCATGTCAATAATATTGAGGTCCATACTGAGGTCCATGTCAATAATATTGTAAGCTGATGGGTCAAAATATTTCTATGAAAAGAAAGAAATTTTCTCTTTTGGCTCTCCTTTTTTGTTTGCTTTTGATTTTTTTTGTTTTTGAATTTGAGGCAGAACAGGATTTAAAGCTGGTAAAATGAACACATAGGGAGGAAAGGAAGTTTTGAGAGTTGTGCACTAGACAGTTATCAACTCCATGTTGGCAGCACTGCAAACTATAAAATGCAACACCCAAAAGAATGCTTAAATTGCAACTTAAATTTGCAGGTGGAAGCAGAAACATTGGAGCCTCTGATGAGCTTACAACTCTACTCAAAATCCAGAGTTTGTGAACTGGTGGGGAAGAAATATCAGCAAAACTCTACAGGACCTCCCAAATTCTTTGCTGAGGTGGGAATGAGAGATGAGAAGCATTAATTGAAGTTGTGATTAGGGAAATAACAGAAACATAGGAGAGGGAAAAACTAAGAAAAGTGTGTGACCTGGTTGGGCTGAAGAAATTTAAAGTCAAGAAGGATGATGATAAATCTGAGTGAGATCTGCCTGCAAAGCAGAAAATTGTACTAAAATTGATACAATGGAAATTTTGAAGCTCCCAGGCACTTACAAAAGTACAGAATGCCTTCAAGATGAAAGCAAGATGGGAAGGCAGCTTCTGGTTCAGCACAGTTGAAGATAACTGCACATCTCAGTATGTGCTCAGTCATGATCAAACCTTTATTCACATTTCTGCTTCATGAAATTGTTCAGAAAATGATGAGAGCAGATACTCTAAACTACACTGCTGTTTAGCTCATAAAGATATGCTCACAAAAGGAATATGAAAGCCCTTCAATTTAGGGAGAAATTTTTTTTTTAAGATTAAATTGCTATACAAGACCAATTAATTAAAGGAAATAATTTGGTAATTGCTTTACCATACATGAATTATTGATTTTATGCCATGAAACCAAACACCATATAAACCCACAACAAGCTAAAACTTAATAATCTACAAATCACAACAAAAGAACCATGGACAAAAAGGAAGACACTAGTGTATCCTAGTGGAAAATCCATCATGCAAAGTAATTTCCTAATGTATAGAAGCAGATGCAAGGGCAGTGCTTGAAAACATTAATTCATCTGTTCATTCAGAATTAATGCCTGTGCAGGTGATAAATATTGGGAACCAACTGATTCCTTGTGAGCAGAAAAGGGAATGCTATCCAAACCAGGCTGCTCTTGAACTAGGAGCTAGAACCATAATTAAAATAATTTTAATGAGGGCTGCACAAAACCCACTCTAGTGAAGAGAGATACCTAAACTTGTAGGAGGAGAAGACAAGTGGAACTGCTGTTCTTTATTGTGAGGGGACTGCACTCTGGGGCTTCTAGGGATGAAACAAGAATCACTGACAAGAAAAACTATTAAAATTGAAAAGTCATGCAAATCTTGTTTCAGGTGGATCTGCACTGCCAAGGTGTCTTACTCTTCCTGTAAAATGGTCCTAAAGAAGGTTTTTTTTTTTTTTTTAAATTATTATTTATTAGTGTTTCCAACTTGGGTACATTTGTATGGAGAGAGTGTTACCACTTTCTGAAAATACCTCCATGAAAATGATATTGTACTCCTTTGTTCATTAGCAATCACCCAAGATAAAATTTCCTCACTCTAAGAGACACTGAATCCTCTATGATCTGCTAAGTCTGATGGTTCTGCTTTAACAGGCTAAAACCTCAARTATAGCTCAGATTTGTGCACTGGGAGACCCAGACCAAGCAGTATTATCACAGCCACCAATTTTTCTGACAAGAAAACAAAAATGGGAGACAGTGACATCTCTAATGTCWGCCAGAAACTTTCCTGCTGTGTCTCCAGCTGTTCTATGTCACTCAAACATCTCCCACATTTATTAGTGGTGAGGAGAACAAAGCAAGCCAAATTAAATTCTTGCTGATCTAACACACATCTGCATGACATGGACTTTTCTTCTCAAAACAGTTACTACAGGATATATTGTTATCTTCTTCAGTTGAAGGCCCAGTGCAATTCATCAAAAACCTCCTTCATTTCTAAAAAAAAGGAAACATGAGAGCAAAGAACACTCAATAGGTTGAACTGCAGATTTCAATATAATTCCTTCTTCTCCTCTGTTCTTCCTTTACATAAGAAGGTCCAAGCTCTTCCAGACACAATTATCTATTCTGCAGAATATTAATACACAGCTCCAGTTTTGGTGTTAATATTTTATCCGATTCACTCCTACCCATCAGGCTCAGTATTCCTAAGAAGCAAGGACATCTTACTCCTTTGGGACACAGGCACAAAACAAGATTTAAGGAGGACTTTTTGTGAATTTAGACATTCCAGATCTAAAAACAAGATCCTCAACCCTGTCAGCAACCCCTGACATCTCCCAGCAYAAAGTGTCTCACTCCATTGGCCTAAATCTATCAAATTGTCAATAATGTCTGCAATAAAACGACACAGCATGAACCAGAATGCCCCTRATGGCATCTCCCTGATCACCAGGCTGCAAAGACAAGTGAAGTTCTGCATTTTCTCTCTAAAGCTGTGTATCTGGAATTCTTGGCTGCAGAATGGTTTCATCRCCAGCAATAACAATAAGGGTAGGGTATCATCCTGTCCCTTTGTATCTCTACCTGGTGGTGCAGAGACACTCCTAAAGACTGTTTCACTTTCCATCTATCCTCCTCCASCATAAATCTCTTTTCTGATGGTGGCAGTAAGCCTTGTTCCACTCACATTTCTCTGTAGATATCACTCTGACTTGCTTAGTCCTGTCACACAAAAAACACRTGGTAGAAACAGAGTTTGTGTTTTCTGACTCCAAGCCTAGGATGACTCTCAACACAACAGAATATTAGGAACAAACCAGGCAGAATCCCATTCCCACTRTTTCTGCAAGGTGAGCATAATTAGATTATTTAGCTTTCAGACACAAATTCTGCTAATCTCCTGACATGCGACTCCTAAAGATGAAAGGGGATGMAGTGCCCTCTTGCTGCACAAACAGCTGATAAAAGCATGAATAATGACCATGATTTGGTGTTCAGATTGTCAGAGGGATGAGACAGATTTAGCAGCAAGCTGCCAGKATTAATGCTTGGGTCAATGAACCAATGGAAAGACAGTCCATCCCTAAATAACCCGTTCTGTCGGCCTCAGTGGCATTTTGGCACTTCAAATTTGAATCACTGCAGACCACTTTCTTCTGTTGCTGAATTAACAGTGATTGTAAAAATGGCTGAAGTGGCACACAAAATCAGGTAAATGAGGTCATGGTACAATCTAAACAGTCTCATTTKCTTTCATTTCTATTTTTTGTCTCAGCTGCAATCCCTGTAACAGAAGGAAGCAGCACAAGAGAAGCAGAACATGCAATGGATAGCATATAAATGAGCTTTTCTCACCTAAAGGTACTACGGCCCTTTCCTACAACTACTGACCCCTGATCAGAGGGAGAAAAGTTGACCTGTGACCAAATTTCTTCCATCAGGATATTTTACAATTTTACTTCAGGTTTTTCTGTTGTTGTAAACTGACTTGTCTCTTCACTTTTGTTATTCAKGTTTAGTGTCTCTAGAACATTTCATCTGAAAATTCAAACTGAATTGTCCCTTGCGCAGAGGTAAATCCATAGAGAAATTCTGTTATATTTCTTTGCACCAAAATAACATACTTATCCACTGAGGCTCCTTTAACAATATAGGCTTCTTGAAAAAATAGCTTCTCTTTACTCAGGAGTAAGGAAAAGAAGGTTTACTCAGCTTTATTATTTATTCTGGAAWGTGTATTGAGGTCTTTATCCTAGACAAAATATCTTGGAACTGCTACTTAGAATATGAGTCTATGAAGATATTCTTAAGGACTCTATCAAAGAATTCATAAAGAGGGGCTGGAAACATTAAGCTTAACTTAGTTTGTCAGTTTGAATAGTGAAGATATAACAATGTGCCCTGGTGCTTTATACAGGGAAGGAAAAGACAGTTCTGTACCTTGGGAACTTCTGGAATTTCAGAAAACCTTCACGACTAGGTCAGAGGAAAAAAAACATGTCATGTTTCTCTGACCACAATACTTCCTCTTAACATTCAACTACTATARTTAGATGTGGTTTATATGCATAAGAATTTTTTAATATATAGGTTTATATGCAAATCCAAGGCCACTATTAGTGAGAATATAAAAAATGTATTCTTTACTGTGTCTTTACACTCCATTTTGTAACAGAGAACATTTGTTCACAAAGAAGCAGAAATGGTTATTAAGTCTTCCARCTCTGGATTAACTGGAGCATAAACAATCTTCTCACTAGTGTTGTAAGGGAGCAGCAAATTAATTTTTTTTCCAAATATGCTTCAGATGCTTAAGGAATGCCATCAAGTCATCTATCCATCCTACCTGTTCTGCCTCAAATTCAAAA